ATTAATAAGTCGTTATCACAAGATAACAGTGCATAAGAAAAAAAAAATCCATGGCCGTTCTCGGCTTCCGTATAATACAGTAAAAATACATGATTATAAATGTTGAACTTGCCTGTAGACAAATTTCACATAGTGGACCTGCAGCTGCGCATTGACTATATTATATATATATTATTGACTACTATAATTAATTGGAACTAATTAATTGGATGTGTACCAATTGGACATTTTAGAGACACAAGGTTTAAGGTTGTTTTTGAAGCAATTAAATTTATACTTCACTTACAGTTTCAATTAATGATAAACTGAGTATAAAAATACCTTTTGATATAGCTCTCATGTTATCTAGCTTCCTTTTTATTGCTGGATCAATCCCTGTTATGGTTTTACAGAACCCTGGATATTATGGTCTCTGTGCCAAAGTTCATTCACGTCGCTTGGTTTGCACAGACGCCAAGTAGAGCTTGTTAAAACAAACCAGGATGTTGAAGCTGCAATCTCAGTGACATTTCCCAGCAGGACAACTACCATTAAAAACTAAACATAAAAACCACAATGTCTCTCACAGGACGGTGGCGTGGAGTCGGGCTTCAGGAGGCCTCAGGGCTCCGGGACGGTGCAGAGGTTGTACCAGATCAAAGGGAAACGCAACATCCGTGCCAAGGAGGTGGAGCTGTCCTGGAGCAGCTTCAACAAAGGAGACTGCTTCATCCTCGACCTTGGAGAGGTGAGGACTCAAACTGCAGCATGGGCTCATAACAAATAAATAATGCTGCTGCAATACTAAATAAAGTTAGTTGTGAATCTAAAACTACAAATTGCATGAATACGGTGTGATCGTTGCTGTTTCTTTGCATACCAGACCATCGTGTCATGGATCGGGTCGCAGGCCAACATGTTCGAGAAGCAGAAAGTGCGCGAGATCGCCTCGCTGATTCGTGACACGGACAGACACGGTAAAGCCCGAATTGTGGACAGCAACGAGGGCGAGGAGCCAGAGGAGATGCTCAAGGTAAACGCACACTTTTATTGTGTAATTATGTTTCAGTAAACTTCATCTCAAGTGGAACTGTTTTATTCAGAGGACATAAGTAGGATTAAGGTGGACTAAGAAAAGAAACATTTTACTTACATGTCATGTTAAAGGAATAGTTCGGGCACTTAGTGGCTTTCTTGCAAAGAACTAGATTTAGACAGTCAAGATGTAACATGTTAATTAGTGAGCTTTAGAGCTGCTGGTTGGCAGATTTTGTTATCTGTGGACAGAACCAGGGAAACTCTTCTGGTGCCTGTAGTTTCAAAATTAGCGAACCAATCTTCTCATCTAACTCTAAAGTGAATAAGCGTATTACTTTTTGTAGTATTTCTAGTTTCTGAGCTTCTTGTTATGTTTCTGTTCAGGTCCTGGGGCCGATGCCAGCGCTGGCAGAGAGCACGCCAGAGGAGGACAGCAAAGCAGACATTTCCAACTCTGCCTCCCTATACAAGGTAACTTCTTCTGATGAGCTTTATAAATTGCACTGATGGATTAAACCATTTACCACCTTTATAAAGGCCAAACTAATTTTAACTAATAGATATCACCATGAAACTTCCCCAACTGATTACTTACATTAATACAATTTTATTTTGTATAAAAATGTGTAGTGTTTGCCTTAAAGCCGCTACAAGGAACTTTCTAGTCCATTCTGACTTTTCATAACCAGTTTAAAAACCCAATTTAGTACATTTAAGTAAAGCATAAAGCTGTGTGCATTCACCCCACAGGTGTCTGATGCGACAGGCTCCATGACAACGACCAAAGTGTCAGAGAAGAGCCCGTTTGGCAAGGAGCTGCTGGTTCGTGACGACTGCTTCATTCTGGACAACGGAGCCAACGGGAAGGTCTTCGTCTGGAAAGGTGAGGAAATACTACTTGACCCCCGACCCATGCCTGAAATGCAAACCGAGGAAAGTGAAAGTTGATATTCAGTATCTGACTGGATCAAATTTTAATGAGCATTGTGAAAAATATTGGTTGACAGTTTTCACTGAGAGGCGAGTTTAAGAGCGAGCAGAAGATCAGCATTATTTATAGTTACTGTACAGCACAATACTGCTCTGATTTTACTATGTATCAATACATGTTATATGTATTTAGATTGTTATTCAGTACAATAATAAAAATCTCTCATCTCAACGCAAAATAATACAGCTCAAGAAAAAACACACAATGAAATACAGAGAAAACAGCAACAAAACTGGGATGGATCTAGAAGTCAGGGTTTCAATTTTAATGAGCTGATTCGAGTATTTTTGGACTCAAATTCTTTAAATTGGACTGTTGTGTTCAAGTCAACATAGTAATAAATAAATAAAAACTTGAGCATTTCACCCCCAGAATTTATTAAGTGTGAGAAGAAACTTAATGCATATGGTCTATATACTGTGACAGTTTTCCTAAAATTAGATTTAAGAAATCACAGTTTATCACCTGAATTACAGTATCGCAATATATTACAAGTTATTGAATTGTATCCACTGTATTATTTATCGTATTGGCAGATTCTTGCCAACATACAGCCCTACTAACATATTTAAGTTATTTAGTTATTTTCTCCTGTGGACAGCAGAAAGAATAACTGTGACAGCTAACCAGTTAGTGAGCGTACTAATGTCTTTCATTGATGGACTGTCAGGTAACGGAGCAAACGCTGAGGAGAAGCAGGTGGCCCTACAGATGGCGGATAACTTCATCGACCAAATGAACTACCCCAGGATGAAAACGCAGGTACTGCTCATAACTCCTACTACAGTTCAACATCTCACACTTACTCTTTATGGGACTGGCTGTTATGATTTTAAATGATTACATCTGCTATAACGCCTTTATCTATACAATGAGCAGTAAAAGTGTTTTATGTGCTGCAGGTGGAGATACTGCCACAGGGGAAGGAGACCATCATCTTCAAGCAGTTCTTCAAGAACTGGAACTAAAAGCATTGTCCTTGGAACATTTGACAAATCTTGCACTCGGGAAGAAGCTGCACAAGAAATATTTCATTTTTTTATATGCATTTACTTATATGTACATATTTGTAAGGTACCATGCTGACACTTTAGCTTGTTTGGACTTGGTAGAATCAGAGATGTGATGCCACTTTTATAAATGCAAACAAGTGTCTTTTAGTGAGCTTATATTAAAGATATGAAGAGATATAAAAGGAATATTCAGTAAATGAGTTTGGATTTTTTTTTTTACATTCTTTCTAGTGTCACAGATTTGCCTGAATTTGAAAAATAAACCTGAAACTGCTACTTGTAGAGGAAGTTGTTTCATTTCTTTCCTGCCAATACACGTTGCCAGAGGGTAATGTGTCAGTGCATGACAATGGAGTTTATGTAACGCTGTTTAAACTATGCCTTCTCTGTTGCCATCGCTGTGTGATTATAATCGGCCCACAATAATCTAGTTTGATAACTGTAATCAGTGGTGGAATTTAACTGCATACATTCACTTATATGCTGTAAGTTTGAGGTACTTCCATGTTATACTACATTGTACTTCTACAGTCTGCAGACTAAGATTTTACATTCAAAATTTTATTTTATTTTATTTTTTTATATATAGATATATAATATATATGGATATGATAATAGATATATATAGATATAGATATAGATATAAAATGCATTGTGAGTGGACTTTTAAAGGTGCTATACGAATAAACTTACAGCTGCACGTGCATCATTATATACTCATCAGACTTAAACATTCATGTTACTGCTTCTTGCCACCAAAGGCAATAAATCAAGTCTGGTCCAGTGATGTGTTTATGGCCTATTAGTGTGATTAGGTCATGAGGGCAGGGTAGTGACGGTACATGTGGAGTGATGTAATGTCTCTGTGACGTTTCTTCCTGCAACTAACCAGGAAGTAAAAAGGTTACCCTAGGCATGCAAAAATCCCAAGTTTATTTGGAGCCAACTTTCAAACCAATTCTCTCTCTCTCTCTCT